GGGGGGCCTCTACTGGGCAGAGCTTTTGTAGTACACACTTTTCCCGCTAGGCGAGCATGGAGCAACTTTCTCTGAGTTAGTGCACCCAGTGGCGTCACCTGGGAAGGTTCTCTGTGGTCATAGTGAATTTTTTTGTAAAAGCACTTTCTCTGGAAGCTTGTTTTTTTGTGATGGATTTAAGAGACCAGTGAACAGCTGTGAAATTTTGTTTCCTACACTCGGGAAAATTGTTGCAGAAACTGTTGTGGTGTTGAACACAGCTTACAAGAACAGTACGAGTAATTTTCTCATTTCAAAAAAGGTGAAATGTCGATTGATGACAAACCTTGTTCTGGATGTCTATCAACTTCCTGAACAGATGAAAATGTCAACAAAACCCATGCATTTGTGCTCAAAGGGACCACTGACGACATGGGGAAGTTACCTGGATGACCTTGGAGCTCGGTTCAGGAAATTTTAATGGAAGATTTGGGAACGAGAAGGGCTGCTGAGAAATTTGAGCCTCAGGTTCTGACTGACGGGGTGGGGGTGGCGAGGGAGGGGAGCCATGCTTTGAAAGAACAGCTCTGAAGCGACCTAGAATTTTTTTCCAAGGTCATCACTGGTGATGAGACAGGGTGCTATTCTTATGACCCTGAGAGCAAACATCAATCAAGCCAGTGGAAGACACCATGGTCACCTTGACCCCCCAAAATTCGTCAAGTGAAATGAAAGATGTTCATTTGGTTTTTTTATGTGAGAGGGATAGTACATTTGGAGTTCGTTCCACCGGGTCAGACTATTAATCAAGTTTTCTATTAAGAGGTTCTGAAAAGATTGCATAACAATGTGTGACCAAAAAGGCCTGATTTGTAGCAGATGGGGGACTGGTTTTGCCACCACAGTAATGCTCCAGCTCACACAGCCATCTCAGTGCTCCAGTTTTGGCAAAAAACAGCACGCCTCTTTTGCACCACACATCTTACTCACCTGACCTCTCTCTCTGTGGGACTTCTTTTTGTTTCCATTAATAAAGAGGATCATGAAAGGACAGTGATTTGACAATGTAGAAGAGATGAAGAAAAAAATGTGGGAGGTGCTATCAGCCATCCAAACAGATGAGTTTGAAAAATGTTTCCAAGAATGGAATCGCAGATTTGACAAATGTATTAAGTGTAATGGAGAGTACTTTGAAGGTGATAAGGTTGTTTTGTAAAAAAAAACAACAAACAAACATAGCTTTGGGGGGGGGGGAATCCAGGTTTTGGGGGGTTACCCCCTCGTATATCCCAGTGAACAAATCTGTCTTGGATGAAGTATTGTCAGAATGCTCCTTAGACGCAAGAGAGCAAGACTTCAACTCATGGGCCTTTGACGTTATCAGGAAAGACATCATGCATGGAAAAGCAGAGGGTTGGTGAAAAAAAAAAAGAAAGATCCTCAAGGAGATGGATTGACAACAGAGTACCACAGGCTCCTACATAGTAATCAGTATGAGACTGGCACAGGACTTGGCAAAAGCACCAACACCAACATTACACACACAGAGGAGAGCAGAAAATCGGTCAAGTGGACAGAACTGGTGCACTTGATTGTGAGGGCTGGTGAGTCTGAAATGCATGGGGCAAGCTGGAAACTCGGGTATGATTTCTGTTAAGAGTCTTGAGGCCGAACTCCCTTTTCACCAGGAAACCTTCATTTTTGTTCTCCTGGCTTTCATCTGCGCAAAGCAGACCCACGCACATTCCTGAGGTTCTCTCCTTTACCTGAAGTGAACTCCTGGTGATGCTCATCACGGCTACAAGATGCTACCGAAGCAACATCTGGGCTGTTGCTTGACCATACAGCTGGGTACCGTAACCTACTGACATATAAAATTAACCTCCCCAGTGCGTTTGGAGACTGTGGAATTACTTGCTGTGAAAGGATGGGGGAAATCCCAAGGAGAATAGTCTACCTTGGGAAAGGGCGTGGTGCTTATTGTGTAAGCTCTGCGTGCTGATCAGGACAGTGGAGAGTGTCACCAGGATGCGAGATCACCCTGGTTTTTTAAAATAACTTTTGCAGTTTTGTGTGGGTGAAAAGAAACGTGGCAGAAAAGAAACGTGGTACAATTCAGCGACGTTGATTGTACACCAGTTTCACCCTCCTCTTCGGAACTATCCCTCCCCCAATGCCATAAACACACCTAAGCCCTTAGCTAGCCTTTCCAGTTACTGCCATCAGTCTGATGTCCTGCAGATCTTTAAAAAAGCACAATGCTCACAGCAGGCATTCTTTATTATTTTTTTTAAGTTTTATTGGCACATGGTTTACATATCATGCAATTCAATAGTTCAATCATATCGAGAAGAATTGTATAATCATTACCACATCAATTTTAGAGCAGTCCCCATCCCCACCCCTGGTTAAATCGCCTTTATAATGAGTTGTGCCATCAGAACCAGTTCTAGTGCTCCCTCCCCCAAGACATTCTTTATTAATTAGGCTAAACTATTGTTTGGTTTAAAGAAGGCTTTGCTTCGGTGACCTCCGAAAGTCTGAGTCTTCTGAGAATTGGAAATTCTATTTTTTCTCCTTTTTGGTCAGGATTTTTCTATAATCTTTAATCTCAGCAGAACAACCTGTTTGACTCCAATTTTTGGGGTCAACCTTATGTCGCTAATTTCCCTTGAGCAATAACTGAGAGGATCAGTAAGCTGGAGGGCTAGCAAATGGTTGGGCTGGAGGTGGTATGGCACTTCCGATCGGAAGGGCACGCTTTTGCTTTTTGCCAGGCAGGGATTCCACCGTGTCCATGGGCCAGTCCCATGCCATGAGCCGTTTGGTTTTGTTCGAGACTGTAACTGTGGGGAAAACTTAGTTGGCAAGGCCTGGAAGGCGAGAACTGAAAAAGAACTTACTCTGGAAGGCTACGCATTAGGAACAGTTCATCAGCTGTTTGCCGGGGCTGTCGAACCGTTGTGCATCGCCCGTAGGAAACTTCTGAAGTAGCAGTGATAACAATAAACTAATGAGTTCCCAAGGAAGGTCTGAGTCATTTCTTTTTCTTGGAGGGTTCTCAAAGCATCTTCTGGAACAGACTCATCACTCCCAGGGCAGACAGGAGGACGCCCTCAGGATGGACCTGTGCATACAAAGTGGAGACCCAAAGCCCATTAGCAGGCCACTGGAGATCCCCTTGCAGAGGGGTCTCGGGGAGGAGGCGAGCCAGTCAGGGAGCGATGTAGCAACGATGGAAAATACAACTTTCCTCTAGTTCCTAAATGCTTCCTCCCCACCCCCACTATCATGATCCGAATTCTACCTTGCAAGTCTGGCTAGACCAGAGGATGTACACCGATACAGATAGGAACTGGAAACACAGGGAATCCATGGCGGATGATCCCTTCAGGACCAGTGGTGTGAGTGGCAATACTGGGAGGGTAGAGGGAGAGTGGGTTGGAAAGAGGGAACCGATTATAAGGAACTATATGTGACCTCCTCCCTGGGGGATGGACAACAGAAAAGTGGGTGAAGGGAGACGTCAGACAGGGCAAGATATGACAAAATAATAATTTGTAAATTATCAAGGGTTCTTGAGGGAGGGGGGAGCGTGGAGGGAGGGGGAAAATGAGGACCTGATGTCAGGAGCTTGGGTGGTGAGCAAATGTTTTGAGAATGATGAGGGCAATGAATGTACAAACGTGCTCTACACAATTGATGTGTGTATGGCTTGTGATAAGAGTTGTGTGAGCCCCTCATAAAAGGATTAAAAAACAAAAGTGCACAGATGGGCCTTGTCTCTCTTCCTTGTTCTGTGCCTTCTCTAGCTGGCCTCTGTAATCAGGCACTACGAGGGCTGTGAGACTAGGCAGGCCGCTAAAGCACCTGCTAAATCGTCCCTTGTACGAGGAAGAAAGGCGGGAGAAGGCACATGCTTTCATGACCGAGGTGCCAGGCAGTTTCACGCAGGTTGTCATTTTTAAGGGGTCAGCGGCTCCTGGGCTCCGGCTGTATACCAGAAGCTTTGCCTGCATGAGCTGGGGAAATCCTTACACCCTGTACATTTCCGCATCAGTGCTGTTAGCCCAGTATCCGAGGCCACAGTCGTACAGCCAGTAAGTGGTAAAATTGCTAAATCAAATGCATCTTTTATTTCAGCTATTCACGCCAAGAGCCTGGTGGCCATCCTGCATCTGCTGGTTGCTCTGTCCCAGTATTTCCGGGCACCAATCCGTCTCCCAGACCACGTTTCCATTCAAGTGGTTGTGGTCCAGGTAAGAATACCTCCACCACCTGCCCATTTAAGGAGGCATCGATGCTGGGCCACTGCGGGGGCCAAGACACAGTGGCTAGAGGGCCAGAGGGAGGGATGCGTGAATGCTGAGATGTCCCTGGGCGTGGCATAGATTTCAAGGCCTGTGGCTAAGTTGGCCGAGGCGTGCTGATGCTGTGCACAAGTAGCCGAAGAATGCATGCCTGTGTGTGAGCCGTCCTGTGTGGGTTGCCTGCTTTTGTCAGGAGGATGTCTCTGGAATGATACCGGAGGATGTGTGGAGGGTGTGTTTGTGTTGTGAAGCCGAGAGGAAAGGTGTCTGCTTTTGTGCGTGCCCATGCCAGGGTGCCCTGCAATTGTGAGAGAGGAAAATCCTCACCTTTTTGTTAAACCAAGGACGTGCAGGGGTTGAGAGAGCCCTAGACGTGTGTGCACGTGTGTTTGAGAGGGACGTGACTGGCCGTGTCACTCCTCTCCCGAGGCCCCTGCTGACTGTCACCCGCCCAGAGACTCACAGCTGGGATCTCAAGTCGTCATCTCCCAGTTGTTGGGTGGACTGTCCATTCGCAGATGGCTGTATAATTTCCACAGTGCGGGTGTGCTCTCTCCCGTGACTGTCTCACTCTGCTCCTCGACCCATTAGACACTCAAATTCAATTTCATTTTCCATCTCTATGCCCATTTAGCAAAAGGTCACTGTGTTGTCAATTCGTTGCTGTTCTTTCCAAATAAACACGCATCCAGAGAGAACCCTGTGCACCGGCAGCTCCCTGGGTCGCCAGGGTTCTGAGAGGAGCAGCGTGCGGCAGGCTGCTCTGCTGTCCCTCGGTGAGGAAAATGAGCCTTTTGCCCTGAGGGGCAGTGACCATGGCCAGGCCAGACCAGAGTCCAGGATGGACGGACTGGGAACTGAGTGCTCTCAAAAATCAGATGTTAATAGAAGGCGGGGTGGGGGGGTGGCGGCGGCTACAACCGCAACCCATGGCTCTTCAGTCCATTGATGTGAGATGTGCTCATAAAGCGTTTCCTCCGCTCTCTGGGCACTTAACTCTGCTAGACATCCAGAGCCACACCAAACCCGTCGCCCTTCGGTCAATTCTGACTCATGGTGATCCCGTGTTAACAGCTCAGAGGGAGCACCGTAGGCATTCTTACAGAAGCATGTCACCACATTTTTCTTCTGTGGTGCTGCTGGGTGGGTCCCACCTGCCCATCTTTTGGTTAGTCCCCAAATCTAACCCACCACCGCTGAGTCGATTCCAACTCAGGGTGCCCTCATATAGCGTTTCTGAAGCTGTAGATCTTCATGGGAGCAAAGAGCTTCAACTTTCTCCCAAGGGGTAACTGGTGGGCTTGAACATCCGACCTTGTGGTTAGCTGCCCAGCGCTTCCTCAACAGTACCACCAGGATTCCTTTTTAGTTGGTCGCCAAGGTCAAATCATTTGCACCACACAGGAACCCTTGCTGAGCATCTGTGGGGAATAATGGGAATATAACACCCGAGCCCTGCCTGCTGGGAGAAAAAATCTCCACGTAAGAAGCAGAGAGAACTGGGTGGAAACCCATAGCCAATGTCAAGTCAACTTACTGCAGTTGATCTTGAGGAAACATGAATTGCCTAAGCACAGTGCTAATAAACTAAGGTGACCAGACGTCCCGCTTTTGGAGGGACAGTCCCGATTTTAAACAATTTTCCCCGCATCCCTCAGCGTTTTAAAAAGTCCCAAATTTTGGAAAGGATGTACGACAAGCTAGGGTATACGGTTTTCAGCTGCCATGTGGCTATTTTGCCAGGATATGAGTTTCATCAATGGTGTCCCGCTTTACCAATGTTAAAAGCTGATGGTGCCCGGCTATCAAAAGATATAGCGTCTGGGGTCTTAAAAGCTTGAAGGTAAACAAGCGGCCATCTAGCTCAGAAGCAACAAAGCCCACATGGAACAACATATCAACCTGTGTGATCACGGGGTGTCGAACGGATCACTGAAGACAAATGGGTGCATAAGCAAATGTGGTGAAGAAAGCTGATGGTGCCCGGCTATCAAAAAGTATAGCGTCTGGGGTCTTAAAGGCTTGAAGGTAAACAAGCGGCCATCAAGCTCAGAAGCAACAAAGCCCACATGGAAGAAGCACACCAGCCTATGCAACCACGAGTTGTCGAAGGGATCAGGTGTAAGGCATCATCAGAACAAAAAATCTTACCATAGTGAATGATGGGGGGAGTGCAGAGTGGAGATCCAAAGCCCATTAGTAGGCCACTGGAGATCCCCTTGCAGAGGGGTCTCGGGGAGGAGATGAGCCAGTCAGGGTGCGATGCAACAATGATGAGAAATACAACCTTCCTCTAGTTCCTAAAGGTTTCCTCCCCGCTCCCACTACCATGACTCGAATTTGGTCTTGCAAGTCTGGCTAGACCAGAGGAGGTACACTGGTACAGATAGGAACTGAAAATACAGGGAATCCAGGACGGATGAGCCCTATAGGACCAGTGGTATGAGTGGCAAAACAGGGTGGGTAAAGGGAGAATGGGTAGGAAAGAGGGAACCGATTACATGGAACTGTGTGTGACCTCCTCCCTGGGGGACAGACAATCAAAAAGTGGATGAAGGGAGACGTCGGACAGGGCAAGATATGACAAAATAACCATTTATAAACTATCAAGGGCTCATGCGGGAGGGGGGAGCGGGGAGGGAGGGGAAAAATGAGGACCTAATGTCGGGGGTTTAAATGGAGAGAAAATGTTTTGAGAAACGATGTACAAATGCGCTTCACACAATTGATGTGTGTATGGATTGGGATAACAGTTGTATGAGCCCCAAATAAAATGATTTTTTTAAAAGAAAAAAAAAATCTGGTCACCTTATAATAAACCCTTTCTGTGTGCTATGGCTACACGGCCCACCAGAACATCCCTGCACAAGCACCCTCTTGCTGCATCCAGACGATCTCTAGTGTGCTCTTTTACCAATTGATAGTATGTGAATCTGCTTCATTATATGTTTTTTAAGTACAATCAAAGATTGAGCAGGAAAGAGGGACTCCTATTTTGAAACAGTGACTGTTGCCAGCTCACAATGTATGCCTTATTTTCATCTCAATTATAGGCCATCAGCAGGCTGTTGTTAGTTTAATTTCTCCTGTAGGCAGTTTTGTTAGCGTGTGGGAGAAAAGAGGACACGATACAGAAAATGGCATCTGTGGAGATCAGGTTTTATGAAGTGTTTTGCTTTATCAAGTTAAACAGCACAGAAGCAGGGCTCTGAGAACTGGCCATGAGTCACTGACTAAAAGACAGAGAAAACTCTTTTAGGGAACAAGCCACAGGGAGGTGACTCAGGATGCAGTGGGAGAGGCTATTTAACCCAGATTTTCCCCCTGCTCTAGTCTGTAGAAAAGCATTTGATTCGACATCAAGTTTAAGATTGAGGCCCGTGTCCATGATTCCTGTGTTCTATGGGGAAGCTGTCTTTATATCGAGTTTGGGAAAAGCCGTGGCGTGTCCTCACCTTGTCCCATTCGGAAAGGGGTCCGGTGGGTTATATGTTGGGCTGCTCCCCAAGAGAGAGGCGAGGCCTTCTCTTCCATCAAGACTGACAGCCTCAGGCCCACGGGCAGTTCTGCTCCGTCCTGCGGAATTGCTCGGAGTTGGACCAACTCGATGGCAGAGGGTTTGATGTGATTGGTTGGGTTTTTTTTTTTTCCCCCTTTCAAGGAGCCTTGATGGGACAGTGATTAAAACACTAGGCTTTTAACCAAAAGGTTGGCAGTTCAAACCCACCAGTTACTCCTTGGGAGAACATGCATTTTCCTTCCATGAAGATTTACAGCCTTAAAAACCCTATGGCCCAGTTGTTTGTTTTTAATTCCTTTAAATGACCTCTCTGGTTTTTTGTTTTGTTTTGTTTCGCTTTCTTTTTTTTTTTTTAATTTGGGTAAAAAGTACTCGAGATATACTCTGGGCCTTAATCCAACTCTGCCTTTGCTTCTGTAAAAATATCTTGCAAGTGCACTGCTTTGGGTGGCTATTGGGAATATAAAGGGAAGTTTTGGAAGGAGAAGAATGGGTTCACCTGAGCCACCATCTCTCATAGGCTCCTTCTAGATACGCAGCTCAGCCTCGGTGGCAGGTGAATTCACTCTAACATCCAATTGCCCTGACCTTCCTGTCTGGCAAATAGCTGTGTAGAACAATTCATCCCCATTACTCCAATCGAGATTGAATGAATCATCGCCATTACTCCGATCAGAAGATCTTGCAGAGCCCTTTCATTCTCCTGTAAGAAGGAAGGTATGAAATTTACAGCCTAACTTGACAACTTCAAGAACTTGAGAGACAAGAGCAGACGAGGCCTGACCCTACCAGAAGGAAGCAAATAAAAGATCAGGGCAGAACTGAAGTCAAAAATAGGAAATCAATAAAGCAAGGAGTTTGGTTTTTGAAAAGAACAGTAAAGTTCTTTGCAAACCTTTAGCAAAATTGACACAGAAAAGATACTGTGTTAGTCTGGCTAGACTAGAGAAACAAATTCATAAACACATAGGCATAAGAAAGAGTTTTCTATACAAGAGGAATTGAACATTGAGAAAGCATCCCAACCCAGTCCAGATCAAGTCCTTAAGTCTGATAATAGCCTGTATGACCGATACCAATTTATAAAGTCCTCTTCAGACTCAGGATACACATGCAATGACGCCGAATGCAGGACAATCACAGGCCAGAGGGTAGAAAGTCTTACGGTCTAGTGGTGGTGTAAGCATCTCAGCGCTGGCTGGAGTCTCTCTGTGGCTTCCCCAGCTTCAGAGGTCTGTATGGTTGCATCAGAGTAGGTCCATGTAGTGTCTCTAACAGAGCACTAACGTAGTAAGTCTCTCCTGCCTCCAAGGAGGAAGTCCCAGAATTCTCAGGAAAAGGCCAGGCGCACACAGAAACCTCATTGGCTATGATCTGATTGACAGGCTAGACTCCACCCCTATATTCTTGATCCTCAGATTGACAAATG